AAAAAAAAAAAAAAAAAAAAGGGGGGGGGGCATGTACTCATCTTCAAATCAAACACTATTAAGGGAAATGAAGTTGTTATAATGATTTACAGTGGTGGGGTAGGGATATACACATGATGGAATTGTCTTTTCTACAATATGGAAAATTAAACCAAGCTGGGTTCTGAAAGCAAGGGAGAGGTATTATTTGGTAGGCAAATAATATTTACTTTACCTCCAGTCAACATAATTGATGATTGTTATGGGCAATATGACTAGTGTTGACAGACCATCTGGTTACTTTTAAGAACTCAGAAATCTGGATGTTTATGATAACTCTCCAAATTTTTAACATTGGCACTGAATTCAAAACATTAAACAATACTATCTGGTCAAAATCATCCAGGCCAAGTAAAATACATCTGCAGTCCTGATATGTCCTACAGGCCACCCAGTTTATAAACTCTGGTTTGTGATATTAATTTATTGAACTAAAATTTTCTGTTTGTAGAAAGTTTTAATTAGAAACTTTTATTCAAATTTAGAAAGCCTGGGTGAAAAGTTAGTAAGGATTGCAGAACATAATATAGGTAAAAGGTAGTCTATAAATCAGAGAATGTTTGTGTCATTTTCTTCTTAACTGAGCATTCTAATTAGGCAAGTTAATGGTTAAACCAATAAGATATTATCACATGATGGCTGTACACTCTTTTCCCATCTCTTCCCAATTTAATTTTTGTCTTCTTTCTTTTTTTATCTTTTTTCATTAAAGAGTGAATTATTATTAATTCCCTACCAAGTAAGAAAGTAAAGGTGTCTGAAATATCTGAGCAAACACTGTAGTCACAATTAAAAAAATCATGAGAGGAGGAATAAAAAGGAAAAAAAAAATCACCTTATGGAGATTTAAGTTTCATAATTTTTTTTTTAGTTACCTCCCTTCTTATAAATATGGAGAATAGAAATTTTAAATGCATGCAAAGATTCTCAAGGGTCTGCATCTCTTGAAAATTTTCATGAATGTTTTTGAAGTGTAACATGAATCAACAAATGTTAACCTCCTTCAGTATCAAGAACAAATAATAGGGAGTGCAAGAAGTATATTTTTCTTTCAGCCAGCATGCCCAATCGTCCATGTTGGTCATTTACACACCAATCCTTTGTGTAACTCTTGTTTCAGACTTTTGGATTTGAGTCCTAAAAAAGACAAAAATCTTAAATAAGATCAACTTTTCCCAAAAGTTTAAATATTCTAAACCATCATATTATAAAAAAAAATAGTTATTTTTAATAGATTGAAGGAACAAGTGAAGGAACAAGTCCATCTGAGGGTAGGGATAGAAGTCAAACTTAAACACCACACTGGAATCCAAATATTTATCAGACTAACTAGCATAATGTAGAGATGATGGTGGAGTTAGCTAACAGTGGTAGTTATTTTATGGAAATCTCCATCTCATTGAGAAAGTGAACATTATTTGGGTCATCCTCTCATTCTAGCTGAACTCTCCACCTTTGTCCTCTTGGTTACTGGCCAAGGAAGTCAGTGTTAGTACCCACTCCCACAGTCACAGAGGCACTAATATTAGGTAACTTATTCTAGGAGGACACAGCTAGAGCTTTTCTCCTTGACACTAAGAATGTTGCACAATTATAATAGCTTGACAGGATCTTTTACCTTAGGTGTGGACATTGCTTTATCCTTGACAATAGTGGAGGGAAGTACTTTTGTGTCTCTGTGCTATATTAGGAACAAAGTAGAAAGTGTTAGGGGAAAAGGATGTCCTGAGAGAATACAGGTTTTATGGATTCTACCCCCAACCCAGACACCAGAACTACAAATCCCATCATCACCAAAGGGAGGATTGCTGGGACCTGAGGGTGGAGTTAAGCAGCCATGTTGGATATAAAACTAGACATGTGGACTTTGAGGGTCTCTTGGCCTTTGCCAGATCTCAGGGTGCTATTAGGGCTCCAGGTCAGTGGAACTGGAGGATACCGTTAACCAACTTATCTCTCTTTCTTTTTTCCCCTGAGTTATTCATTTCCCTTTCTCTTGTAAAGAAACCCAGCAGTGGCTTTTTTGTGTGTGAATAATAAGATTCAACCCAATTCACATTGGGGTTGTGTTGTAACAGTTGGTCATTAAAAATGTTATAAATTGTCTGTCTTATACTTATTTCTTTATTTAAATCATTCCTTCCCTCCTCATCAAACACTTAAATTCCACTCTAAGAGTCTAGTTCAAATTCCTGTTAGTCAATGGATCTTCCACCTTCTTTCATCAATATGAACACATTCATTTTCCATTCTCATTAGTGTCACTAAATATAACACAAATAAATATTTGAGGAAATAAGGGCCCCATAATAGACATGACCTTTTTTCCTCACTACAAATGTAAATTTTCCTGGAAAAAAAAAAGAGGACTTCTCAGATATACTTAGGACAGAAACGCTAAATATCAGGTTAATTAAGAGAGCACATGAAAAAGTGTCCATGGATTTAAAGACATGATTGATATTAGATAATTTTAAAAATCATTAGTGACTTTTTGATACTTACAAGGAATGAGGAAGATGATACAGATGTAGGAATTGGTGGTGGTGGAAAATTTGGCTTGGTAATTAACTGGCAAGAAGGAAAAAAATAGTTCAAAGGTGGGGTCTGGAAAAAGGATGTGTTAATTCGGAAATCTAAAGCACTTTCAGAAATGAAGAACTGATGACTGTGATCATGACAATTATTTAAACCTGCCAGTCTGATTGTATACACAGACAGAAACAAGCTCAGTGACCACAGACATATGATGAAGATGGCACTGATGGTGCACTCTGGTACTCTCTATACACTCTATCTGTTTGCAGACCCATTATGCAGGTATAAGAGTTTAATGGTTCATAAAGGAGATACATGTATGCTTCCATTTTATAACTTTAAAAAGTTTGGCCTAGAAATGTGTATTTTACATTAATATTCAACAGATTTCAACTTCTTCCTAAGATAAAGTTGGCTGTTATGGGCTACATCTTTCACTAGTTATTTCCTTGAGGTCAAACTGAAAGTAATACTTAAGAGAGGTTGGTAACTCACAAATGAAGCCGGAGGCTCATTGCCTTCTACTGGTACATCAGGGGCACAATTCTTCATCTGACTCATCTAAAAAAAATATTTTAGAAAGAAATGATCAGTTTCCTAACTTCAGCTTCCAAATAAGCAGCCCTTTCAGAGCCTTGGAAACCAGAACTAAGGTGACACTGAGAGACGAGATGTAAAATCCCTGAAGCCCAGCTTCTGCCTATTGCTGTACTGAGTCTCCACCAAAGCAATTACTACCATTGCCATTATCAGAAAGCAAACTCGGCCAAAGTCTCTAAACAATTGTAGAATATAACCAGTCATTAAGCATATGTCATACAAAATATATTATTGTCTCAAATGGAAAATTATGGTGAAGTCAGAAAGAGTGAGAGAATGAAAGCGAAGAAGGGAGATACCTTGGCATCTGCCAAAATTATTCTCTTTGCATTTTGTGAATCTCAGCAAATCAACCTCTGCATTTTAAAGTAAATTTTTTTTTAATTTCTCATTACCTGTTTATTTTTTATTATAGTAGCTTCTATTTCTAGTGTTTCTCATCCACTTACAACATGGTTATTCACTTCCTAATAAGCTCAGGGGTTACTAATTTTCAGAATAGATCTTTTAAATATAAGTTTATTTTTACATCATTTTGTGCCTTTTTCCATCTCAGTTGTATGTAATCCCCGTGGGTAAAGGAAATTTTTTTTTTACATTTAACAACAGACGAGAGAACTTTCTGAATGTTTATTTGCAGCGTCCACTACACTTGCTAATACTAACTAGAAGGGTGGATTTGAACATAAAGGGTAGATAATAAAATGGCCACAGTAAGAGAATCACAAATTGGAGCAAAAGTAGCAGAGTTTATGGCTCACCTCTTGGGGCTGGATGGCCTTCCCCTTCTGTGGTTTCCTCTTCTGTTGGCGAGGTCTAGTGTCAGAGGCAGACAGTGGCCTGGGTATGAAATATCAGAGAATTTGAGTTAGCAGCTCCTGTATCAGGAGGGGAAAGCACAATGAAGTTTACCAGATTTATTTATCCATGTGCCATCCTGGGTTTTCATCTGCTCCCTAGGAATGTGTCAGTCTTCCTTCTGAAATTCACAATCACTACCACTGACTTTCGTTTTGTTTCTCTGCAGAGCCCTCAGTCCTCTTAATGTTTCTGAATACAACTTCTACATCAAATTGTCTTTTTATTAATGATTTGCTTTATTCATTCAATACTTAACTGAAAGGCCATTTGGGGTGAATAAGTTAATATTTAAATTTAAAAAGCTGTAAAAGAAGGTATTGTAGTGTTGAGACCCTATGTGGAATACTGCTCTCAGGACAAATCAAGTTTCCATCATTTGCTTTGTAAGATTTTGCACACGTTGGTCACCCTCACTGAGCTGTTTCCTTATTAGTAAAAACATGAACTACTTCGCCTTGTAAGATTATTTCAAGTATCAACATGTGACATCAATTTATTTACAAAATAGAATAGCTACAACCTCATGAAGTTCTTGAGAAAAACTGAGCAAAATATTGTATATACTAAAGGATTTAGCATCACATTTATCAAAAAGATATTGATCAATAAATGTTACATATTGCTTTCTTATAAGTGTAAAAATGTATAATAATGAGTTTTTATTACTCTTATTCTAACTACACATATAGTAACAAACAGAAGAAAAAGACACATTTTGTTGGAAAGGATTTTTCAGTAAAAGACCCAGATGCTGGTTAAGTATATACCCATACTCAGTTCTGAGTATTTGAATCAAACCAAAATTAAAGAATTTGGATCACACCCTTGAAGTTAAAGTAAAACAGAGGTCAAAAGTTCCTGAAGAAGATAAAGGTTTACCTCTGGACTTTCTTCTGCTTTCCTCTGGTGCTTTGGTGCCGGATTACTATAGCAACCACCACAAATACCACAGCCACGGGGAAGAGCACTCCAACCACAATGGAGAAATCTGCAGAAAACAGAACCCCGGGGTAAGGATATGATAAACTCACATGTAAGTATCATGGTTGCCCTTATCTATTTAGCACAAATTCTATCTTCTGCTCAAAGAATATACATTCCCTGAAAAATCTCTTATAGCCAGTAAAATGAACATGTATGATGATCATGATTATTGTAATAGTTGGATTGAAGAAATAAAAAAAATCTATATGAAACATTTATTATGACATAAGCAAAACATAATAGTATTACTAATTAAAAGGTGTTCATAATAAATGAAAGATGGGCTAAGACATTAGAGCAAATATAGAGAATGGCAGAACAAGAGGAAAACATTTTTAAAAATCCATCTTGGACAAAACAGAAAAAGAAATTGAAGCTTGAATCATTTTCTTGTCAGTAACAATAGGGAGTTCAACTGTGACTAAGAGAACCAATAAAGATATAACTATGTGTTCTAATGTTTACTCTAGACCAGAATTATTATGTATAGAAAAAAAAGTTATATGATCCTGTGAATTATGAATGGTTTGAACAAATATTCTTGGGTCTACAGAGTATTTTCTTTAGCCTACTAATCTAAGTTATGGCTATAACATTCGTTTGCTCTCATGAATACTCACTTCTCCCATAACAACCTAAAGCCTCAGAAACCAAACTGTGTATGTTTGTATAGCAATACACACAGCAAATGTTCTTTTAGTACAGAAATTAGCATTGATAAAAGATCAAATGTTAAATAAATGCCGGAAAAGCTCAAGTATAAACACACACACGCACACACAGTTACAGACATCAGGGAAAAAATTAGGTGAGATAATGATTTCAAGTTTGAATAGCTAATATGCTACACCTTCACAAAAGGTGTAGCATATTGTACTGGCAGATGCAGTATAAATGTGTTCAAGGTGAAAACAAATTATAACTAGCCCTAACTTACTAGTAAAATTCTATTTTCAAAAGAGATTCTTTTGGCAGAGGAAATAGAGAAGAACTTGGCAGTTTTTCAAAATCACCCTTAGTTTAAAATATGTGCTCTCTCTAGAGTTAGGGTACAGCTGAGCATGTTTAATAGGAACAGGGCGCAGCTGAAGTTGATATAATGCAAGAACAGCTAACGAATTCTAAGAAATGCAACCTCAGGAATTTTAATGTAGAAACATCCCTTTCGAAAAAAGGAAATTACTCATAGAGATTACTTAGCAAATTGATAAATTCACATAAAGAATTCAGAAGAGTGAAATCATAATTTAAGAGTATTTTTCATGAGCCTTGAAACCATTAAAGAGATTTCTAATTAAAAGAGTTGATTGTGTTTAAGCATCTAGCCCCCTACTCTACCCAATCCTGATGACAAATACAAAATAGCATGTGTATTTTTATGTATGTACACAATTTATTTGTTGTTGTTAAATAATCACTTTAAAGTTATTAGCTTTATTTTTCCTTAAGTGCTTTTAAAATGCCTACATTGGGCTTTGCCTATCTGTTATTCTCGCTATTATTTTGATGTAATTTATAAAATCATAGATCACTATAGATCACTAGGAAAAATACTGAAACAATGTTTAGAACTTAAAGATAGGACAGAAAAGGATTTAGGGGGACAGAAAAAGAGTAAAATATAGCTACAAGCTAGAAATAAATGCTATTCTTTCTTGGGAAGTAGGGCAAGGAATCAATAACTTTTAAAAAGCCCAGTATCAGTGGTAGATTCTATTTTCCTAGGAAATCAAAGAAGAGTCTGAGCTTGAGAAAGATGGTTTGTTCAGTGCCCCTGTAAACCTCACCCCACCCACATCCACCCCACCCCTATCCCATGCACATACAGAACAAGAATGGACTTAGGACAAAGCTCCAGAAACTTCTCCCTAGAAGTAATGGAAGACATACAAGCTTGAAGCAGAACAGAGGCTAATTCCAGATGCCAGCAGGTGAGAGAGAGAGAGGGAGAGGGCAGAACCAGGAGAAAGCTGGGCAAGCACAATCCACTCTGAGTAAAGGCATTGAAGCATCCTCTCCTCAAGGCAATCTGGAGGTTGGAAGTCCCCCTCTGGTTGTTTCCCACCAGATGACCTGTATGGAGATCTGTCTGTCTACCTAACAGATCTCCCAGAAGGTTAGATATCATCAGCCACACAAACACACAATCATGTAGAGAAAACCCATGTGAGCTAATTCAAGGCAACTTAATATGATATTCAACTCATATCCTGAAGAAAAACAGCACAATGAAATAAAAGACTGTTCTGAAAAACAGAGTAATCAAACTTCAAAAGAAATGGAGATAATTCGGAGAACACCTACAAAAATAACCTTAGTGCACAGTAAGTCGAAGCTACTATAGGATGGAACAATCATAAAGCAAGAAACTGGGGCGATTAAAAAAAAATTGCAGATGCGAACTTTGAGGAAATGTTTTGGTATGTAAAGTAAAAATATAAGGACATGGAAAATGTGATTGAAAAGTTGTTAAAGGGTCTTTGAAAATTAATGCTGTGGATTCAATGTCTAAAGAATAGACATTCTAAGTGGGGGTGGGGAGGAATGTCATAGAAAGGAAAGCTTGGAAGAAAGAAGCAGTTTTCTCAGGTGAGAAGGCAAAGTCACCTACGGTAGACCATGGAGGAGTCGTCGCAGTCCGGCGGGGCCCATCCTTCCTGACACTGACACTGCAGCTCGTGGTCACACACCTAGAGCAGTGAAGACACGAGTCGTTTCCCCCTCAGACAGCCACCAAGCATGGCGCTAGCTATCCTCAAGCAGAGCCAGTCTGCAAAGGGAGTAACTCCTGCTCCACAGCCTTGCACTAGCTATATAATCTGGCTCAGCAATATAAATTTCAGCATTATATTCTGAGGAAAGTTTTCTTTTAAAAAAAATGTATTTTATATAATTTTTCATTTTTTTCTACAATACATTTTTTTCTACACCTGTAGGTGTAGTCCCCATAAAATTTCTTCCACCAAGACACCCCTGTATCATCGCCATAGTCTCTTGTGCTCTGCCCTCTCTTGACCCTTCTCCCCCCAAACCTGCTGTATGTCTGATTATTGTCTGCCTGCTAGTTTCATCAACTTTTTATTTTTTTAGAAGAGTTTTCTTTGAACCAAGCCACGTAGTGTTAAACAATCAATAATTTTAACCATTTAATGCTGAAATACTATTTTAAGATCATCAAAGCTGACCTAACATTATGGAAGGATGAGCCATCTTAGGGAAGCATTCTCAGAACTTACCGCATGTCCTTTGCACTTAGAGGAGCAATTGGTTGCCTTGTAGGCCCTCTCGATATCCACACACTCAGCATTGAAGCACACCTGAAAGTGATGTGAAAATGAAGCTGACAATCAAGTCCAAAGCCTTCAGCACTACAAACTAGGTTCTTTGGAATTTAGTCTTAGCTTAACCATTTCTGTTGGTACCAAACTTATCTTTTCAATATCACAGAAATATTTAGGAACTAAGATGAGCTCTTTAAAGATTTCCTTCCTTTACTTCATTCCTTGTGGGTTATTTCCTCACTCAATCTCAAGGTCACTTTTAAGACTGAATATTCAGCACTGAGTTCAGCATTACACATGATACAAGGTATCCATTCAAAACATTCACCAAAAACATGTAAATGTCATATGATCTGCAATATTAAAATAATGTTCATTTATGTAAAAATTCTGTTTATACTTTATCAGAGTGAATATCATTGAAACCTACTGATTTAGGGACAACAAAATTTTCCTATATTAATGATGTAGTGCTGAGTATACAGTAGGTACTTATTAAAGATCACTGAAGAAATGAATGCACATATATATGAATGTCATATATATTGCAAGGAAAGCTATGGTCCTTGAAACACAAGGAGGCCACAAGAAACAAACAAAACAAGACAGAAACAAGAAGAATACTGGGTTTTTGGAAAATCATTCAAGGAAAATCATGACTTTTCTGACGACTCAGTATTTTCAGTAAAAATCATAACTTCCCACTAACCTTTTTGTTTCCACACTTAGTTCCATTGGCTACCATGCCTACTTCTTCACTGTTTTCTTCAGGATCAAATGTTTTACATGTCTGAAAGGTTATTATCCGTCCTTTCCAGGGCAAGTTATTTGATCCACCTTGACAGAACAATTTCCCACACATGACATCACTGAGGAAAAGCCAAAATTTGCTATGGTTTAAATGTCATCATTCATAATGCATTTTTATACAAATGTTAATCACCTTTCTGGTCATCAATGTGTAGCTAAAGGTATTTTCTATGTAGCAGAAATTGCTAGGTCTCCTTAATACTAATGCCCCCATTCTTCTTAATAATAAAAGCAGTGACTACTAGCAAAATGTACTGTTGCTTAAAAATATCTCACATTTCCCAGATTCTCAGGCATACTTTAAAAAAAAAAAAACTTTGAAAAATGTTGATTTTGTTTGACCTCTTGTTGTTATTTAGAGCAAGTAGAAAGATTAATCCACTATACTTTTAAGACCTTTTTTATGCAGAATAGCTTGGTTGCTAGTGTAATTTTTTTGAGATTAGAAATATGAAAAGTAAAACAAATTCTTCAGGTAATTCTCAATCTTCTTCTTACGATTTTTTTTTATGAAATTCCATGGCAAGTGTTAATAAAACTATACAAACATTGTACTGATTTTTCATCTAAATCATCATGGAAAATACTAAGTGGAAAAACATCTAAAAAGATCCTGGAACATTTTTGGACACATTTCTTTACGAGGTCCATTCATTGTTTAATGTTCTGGTTCAAATAATCATTCAATTCTACAATGACTAAATTCGGTATCCTCTGAATTACTCAATCTGGGGACTTGAAGAAAAGATCATTTACTTGATTTTTTTAAAAACTCAGTATTCACTTAAACATGGCTCACCTCAACAGTCATTCAATAATGTTTATAAAATGATGTCCAAATTTACTTTCAAATTAAATAAATAAAGCATAATGTGTGGCTGAGGATGTGCTTCTGACCTAAGCCTATGGAGAAGGATGGGTCAAACGACAAGGACACTTACTTCGCCTTACAAGGAACTCCTGTGCCATCAACTTTGCGACAGTATCCATACTTTGACCCACCTTCATTCCTGCTATAACACGATTTGTCGGCAACCTGGCTTCCTGAGACAGGCATGATCAGTAGGAACAAATTTAAAAAGAAAAGAAATAAGAAACTCAATGTTACATAGGACTAATGAAATATAAACCAGCATGAGAAGCACGAATTTAACCCATTGACCATTCTTAGAAATATTGCCTGCAATAATTGATATTAAATACTGCTGCAATAAACACAGGAGGGAAAGTATACTTTTGAATTAATGTTTTCATGTCTTTTGGGTAGGAGTGGGATTGCTGGGTCATATGGTAACTCCACTTTAAGTAGTTTGAGGAACCTCCACACAGCTTTCCACAGTGGTTAGAGAGTTTTCATTCCCATGGTAATGTAAGAGAGTTCGCTTTTCTCCACAAATTCACCAACATTTGTTGCCTGATTTTTCAGTGTGTGCAATTCCTCTCAAAAAAAAATGATATTAAAAGAACTGTCTACAATTAATGGTCTTCCAAACAGTCTACTTTTGAATAATGGTTAGTTACATCTGGATGACTATAAGGTTTAAAAAAATCTCATCTGAATATGAAGACTTATTCTGGAGAGCTATCAGCCAACCTAATGTTAACAGCCTGTATGAAGATATTGGAATTCTACCCTGATGGTGCATACAATTGGGAAAAATACCTGCTATGTTTAGTCAAATTCCAAGTCTGTGCCAGGCACAGTGATAACTATCACATATTTCATTTCTCAGTAATCTTCCCCAGTTCCCTCTCAGATGGGGAACAGGTCTTCGTAGTTAAGAACACAGGTGTTAAAGGAAAAGTGAGAAGCTTTGTGACCTTGGGTAACTATCTTAACCTCTCAGTTTGCTCAAATATAAAATGAGGATGTATAATAAGGATGTATACACTAGTAATATACACACACACACATCTATATATATCTATATAGATACCTAGATAGATAGATAGATAGATAGTTAGATAGATGTGTGTGTGTTGTATGTTGCATATATATATATCCTCCCTTGTAGAAATGAGGCTTAAATGAGTTAACATATGTGAGCGACAGAGTAGTTACTGGTCAGTAGTATGTACTAATCATTCTTATTATCATTCCCATTTTATCATAATTAAGTCATACAGAGAAAGAAAAGTCAATTTTATACCCTTTTCTACCTAAGTCTAGCACTTACGCATCTTCTATGTGCTGGACTGTTCCCATTTAAGATAACAATATAAAACCAGGAAAATTTGAATCTAGTCTGTGAAAGTCATCAAACTATGTTAAAATTAATTTTAGAAACTGAAGATAGGGCCCTCCTGGTGGCGCAACGAGTTGAGGCACAGAACTGCGAGGTTGACCCCAGCCACTTCAGTGTGGGTTCACTTCCCGGGCAGGGAGCTGACCCACATGGCCCAGCAGACCTCTCCTGACTGCCCACTGCTCCCCTCAGCAGTGTACTTCATCATTCTGCCTGTTCTATCTCCACTCCGTCTCTGGTGAATCCTCTCACTGCCCCTGCACCTCTGGCCTGTACCCCAGCTCTGTGTGCATATATAAATATTTTTAAAAATTGAAGATAATGCACTGATTTCAAGAAAAAGCATTAAACCTATTATAATTTGTAAACCCAACCCATTTTAAATGAATTTCATGCTCCAATAACTAAGATGATCATTTGTTACCATATGTTCTCATTTGTATCTTTAGAACATTTATAGGCTCTTCATTATTATAAAATACCACCGAAATAATTGAATGAGGTATAAATGTTATTATCCCAAACTTCAGATTTATTACTGCTAATATTGCAAAAAGTATTGCTCACATAGCCATATTCAGTATCAAGCTGCTTTATAAGTTATTTTATCCCAGTTAACTATGTAACAATATAATTGCTTCCTTTTCCGAAGCTATTAAATAATAACAGAGCTACACATACTGGAATGGCTACATACACTATAACTTATTTGACTGATTCCTATTCTTGAATTATCCAATTCAATTATCCACTATCACTTAAAAATCACTGTGTGAAAAATCTTAAAAATTAATATTCCTAACTACAATTCCTAAGGAAAAGATTATAGAAACTTCCTCTCAGATTATAAATGCATTTTTTTCAATTCTCTATAAAAAAATGAAATTGTGGAAACTCATATTCTTGCCAAAGGGTATGAAAACTAGTTTTGTCATATATTCTCAATCAACACTGAACATTAACTATAAGAAAACTTTTGACAACAAGTGTAGATTGGGTTGTTTTCCTTTATAATTAGTGTACTCCCTGATGCACTAATATTATTTTACACTTTCACCAGTGAGTTAATATGATGTTTATTTGTGGGATACCCAGACCCCTTGTTCTCGGAGACACTGTCTTGGTGCCCCGAGTTCCAGCTTGTCAACTCGGCATCAGACCATGCAGGGGGCCACTCACCAATGGCAAAAGTCCTGGGATCAGGCACATACTGGGAAACCACTATTGGCTGAAAACAGCAGGTGCTTATTAGAATACAGATAATAAGCTTTGACCAGCAGGAACAATGGAGCCTCCCAAGCAACAGACCCTTGTCAGGCACCCGATCGTACAGCTTGAGAACTGCTCTCCTCCGCCCTACACACTCCCTCTACACCTGCTGCACCTTTGTACCTGACTCCAGTAAATATGAAACTGCCTTTGGGTAGGGGCTGCACATTACTTTATCTCAACCCACTGTCCCCTGACACAGAGGGATTTCTCTACATGCTTGACCATAAATTTCCATGCTGCTGTTTTTTTCTGGGTGTGTCATGATTTTTGTTGCTGTCCTCTTTGTTTCGGTGTATTTTCAAGAATTACGAAATGTTCCTGACATGTGAAGACTCCCTTCAATTACCTCCAAAAGTATGTACTTTCCCTCTAAAAAAACAAACAAAAAGAAGTTCCTCTGTCATTTAAGTATGATCTGGTAGTTTAGCAGGAAAAGGGGTGCAAATTAAAAAATGCACACAGTACACATCATAGCCAGGAATTCTGAAGAATTCATTTTTCAAAAATTCTTTTTTTTTAAAGATTTATTTATACATACAGAACCAGGGTACAGGTCAGAGGTGCAAGGATAGTGAGAGGATTCACCAGAGACAGAGTGGGGAGCAGAACAGGCAGATCCATGAAGTACACTGCTGGGGGGAGCAGTGGGAAGGTCAGGAAAGGTCTGCTGAAGCATGTGGGTCACTTCTGGGGTGGGGATTGGACTCGCACTGAAGCAGCTGTGGCCAGCTTGCAGTGCTGCATCAAACCCATCATGTGACGAGGGAGGGCCCCCAAATTATCTTTCTAACCAAGTTGCTTAGTACAATTTACATTTTAGCTAAAGTATTTTGAAGGTTTTAAAGATATGCTTAGTTTTTAATTCATTTTTTTATGATGTATGCAGAGTATATGGTTTCTAAAAGCATTGAGACACAGAACAACTGAAGAACTTTCACTTTGCTTCATTGTTCCGTCTGCATTCTCAAGGGTCCTCTTCTCTCCCCTTTGCCTTGCTCTCTATCTGCTGACACCTCTATGCACACATTACTATACACACAGCTGCATTCATTCAGACACGTCCCTACACATCCTTTTACATAGCTACACATATCCACATCCACACACACACACACACATGTGCGTGCACACACACACAGACTTCCTTGAATTTATTTGTCAAGAAGGATCTTGGGGGCCTCTCTGGTGGCCTAGCAATTAAGTCTCAGACCTATCACCTGATGGCCTCAACTGGCTTCCCAGCAAGGGAGCTGACCCACATGGCGCAGCAGACCTCTTCTGTCTTGCCCGCTGCTCCTCTCAGCAGTGTACTTCATCAATCTGCCTGTTCTCCCCACTAAATGTCTGGTGAATTGCCTCACCTCCCCCATGCCTCTGGCCTACACCTCAGTTCTTTTATGCAAAATAAATAAAATCCTTTTTTAAAAAATGAAGGATCTTGCTTAGATTTGCCAGATCAAGTACAGGATATGTAGGCTGACTCTCAGAGAAATAAAATTATTTTTAATATAAGCCGCTTCAATACTGCATAAACTATACCTTCAAAAATTGTAAAGCATAAATATAACTGGGCCATTCTAATTTTTATTGATTTAAAATGAGCAACCCTAAAATTGACCATAAGTCCAAAAATGTACTTATGATTCCGAGGAACAATACAGAATCTAAGAAAGAAGAATGAAGCAGATGCTGCTTTGATCCTGATGAAACTTTATCAGGAATAATAGGAGTTTGCAGAGGGAGGCAGGAATGGCAGCACTGAAGCCTGCACTTACCTGGTCCCCACAGCTGGGTGCACTGGTCCTGCAGCGTGGGGCATGACCCCATCAGGCAGTACCCCTTTCCATTTTGGCAAGGGAAGCCATTGACCCGGAAGCGATCATCAGGGCAAATACCAGATTTACCATCACACATTTCTGGCAGGTCACACTCATCTTTTGTTGATCTACACACTACACCAGCCTTTTTAAACTGTAAGGGAATCAAAAAGGAGAATCATCGATTTTCCACTCACGCTCTGAAATTAACACACAATGCTGTCCCTTCGGTCTTTGACAATCACTCTGTTATTCTACCCCAATTTGCATTTGCGTCGTATAAACTAAAGTCATCTTACATCTTTCTGTCTACCTATTTTAAATCTGTTTATTGCTTTCAGACTCGGTCAGAAACCTCATGTTCCATGTTTTCTTCTGACTTCTTTAAAGTAAATCGCTGTTCCTGTTTTCTGCCTGTGGTAGGGAAAAGCCTAAAATTCAAATTCAGCAGATATGGGTTTGAATCTTGCTCTTCGGAAAACAAATTTAATCCATCTGAAAATCAGTTTCCTTATCTAGGATCTTCTTTATGAGGCTTATTGTGAGATTAAGTGAGAATATAGTAGAAAACATCATACTATTGACCTAGGAATTTAATCACATTTTTTTTCTGTTCAAGTCTGCATATTATTGTGCTAGTGAAATAGGTTCTTTGAGGTCAAAGACTGCTTTTATATTCCATATCAATAAAACTTAATAAGCACATCTTAAATGATAATTAAGTTCTCAGGTTGTTTTTCTTTCTTTTTTTTTTTGGCCTGTTATATCTTTCCTCTTCCTCTGACATTGAAAAAGAAAAGTCTACCCCAAACCCTGCCTGTAACCTGGGGTACCATCTGTGCATTTACAGACTCGCTCCACAGTTACAAAGCATTTAAAATGTATGAAATTCTGTGCTAGATGAAGAAAAATCAGTCCTTGGCTTTTAGGAGTCAAAGAAAAAAAAAACCCACAGAGAAAATAACATAACATCCTCATTTATTATGTTTTGCCTAAGAATTTCATCCTGAGGTGCCTTAAAAAATTGAAGGTAGGTCACTCCCTTGTTATTTAAAAATAAATTTTTCCACTAACCCTATCAAAGAATATGCAATCATTGCTATCTGAATTAGTTCAAGCCAGGTGGCAGGGAACAGCGAGGGTGGGAAGAATGGCACGGGCTTCAGGCCACTCTTATGTGGAGTTTCCCACTGAGTAGCGGCTCTGTTGTTCTGAACATTTTCTGCTTTGCACTTTGCTTCTTAAAAAGAAAAATGATATGATAACATCTTCCTCAAGGGGTTCTTGGAGGATAGGTAGGCCATGCATGGAAAGCACTAAATGAGTAGTGGGTAGCATAATGTCCTAGGCAGTAAAAGAATGCTTTGCACATTTCATTTAATACAATTCCTGAGCTTTAAAAATATAGAAAAAATAAAAATCAAGCTTAAGATAGAATAAAACAGTCATCTTACCTGACATTTCTCACAGCATTCTCCCAGTGCACACTGAAAACGTGCTTTGATTTTACACGTTTTCGCATCACAGCAAATGTTGGTACATTCCTAAGAAAGATCAGGAATAAATCAAAATGCAGGATTTCCTTTTGGCTGTCTTTTAGCACAAATCTTAATATAATTTATGCACTGTACAGATCTTACAGCTTGATAAATAATCAGGAAAATGAGATATGAAATTCAGAATAACATTAAAAAAACTAACATTTTAGAAAAACTTTGTTATTTGTCTGTATTCTACTTATATCCTCTGAAAAATTGAACATCTTTTCAAATTCCCTTCATCTTCCTTAATAACACTGGATTGATCCAGCTCTTGTAAAACATGAGAGAAAGCAAAAGAAAACAGATCTCAAAAAAACAAAATGTATCTGAATGTTAAAACACAAATTAGTTCAACGTCTCAGTTTTGTGTCCAATCAGCAGTAAATTTAATCTTTATAACATGTACTGAAAATCTATAGTTCTTTATTTTTGACATTTAATTCAACTCTGTGCAAAGTAACATACCCTGCCTTGCTTTCCCTCCCTCACTTCCAAGGAAACAGCCACTTGACCTAAGCCACTGGGAAACCTCAATCCCATTTAGATCCCCAAAGAGAAGAGCCATGATTAAGCTTAAAAATTTTAGAGTTAAAACAGCTGCTTTTATTAAAATGCAAATGAAAAATATATTTAGATAAAGGTTACTCTTCCTCAAAGTTTGAATAAATTTGTAATATCACTTTGAAATTACTGAAAGGCCACTCCATGAGGCTCTAGTATTACTCACATTAAGTGTTAATAAGATGGGGCAAAGGTCCCATCTGGAATGGTGAACAACTTGGGGCAGGACAGGCGCTTCTGATAACTCCTGATTCCCAGATAGTAAGAGAGACTAAAGCCCCGAGCAGGGTCTGGGGCTCAGAAATAGCCACACCTGATGCCAGTAGAGACTCCTACTGCCAGGCTTGTGATCCTGGGCAAGAGGTTTCCATTCTGGGCACTGCCACCCAGCTGTGCTTAGATTAACTGCTTAGTAGGTGCAGGCACACAGAAGTTTGGATTGTTTCTTGGGTGATGAGTGGAACTTAAAAATAGGGGGTGGGGAAGGAAGCCAGGGAAATCCAGGTCTGTTAACCAGTTCATGTTTCATTTTCATTAAGGTGGGCCAGGCAAATACCGATAGGTAAACATAATGCAAAAAAATCTCGTTGGCAACCATAAAATTAGATCTTTTTCAAAAGAACTTGGTACCTCGGGGGTCCCACAATCACAGTCTTCTCCCATTTCTACCAACTGGTTCCCACAGATTGGAGTGGATATGATATCTGTAGGCAATGGGACGTTGAAGAGGCAATTTGATAATCTGTCTTCGAAGAACTTGTCATAGCTCACACGGCTGCAAGAGCTGAAGTCTGTAGGTATATAGTAGCTGTGAAGATCAGGAAAGACAAAGTGGAGCTCACAGAAGTGACGTCAGGTATCTGGCATGATAACACCTAATCTGCCCCAGAGGATTCACCCACTGAGTTCACCAAAGTTGAGCTCTTTTGTGTGCCTGAATTAGGCCATCTGGTGGACACAAACTTAATGAACAAATATGGCATATATCAAGGTCATATTCAGAATGCTATTTAATAAAATAAAAAGGCATCTGACTTACCCAGACAAATCTACTCAACCTTATGCTATTAAGGATGTGATATCTTAAGGTAGTAAAATTATAGATCTAACTTTTAATAATTCCTTCCTACAGACACAATCTCTTTATTATACAAGTATAGATGAAGTTTAAAAATGCAGTAACATTAAGGGACAAAAACCTAAGAGATGGAAGAGTTACAGGCTCTCTGTGGAGAGCATGGGAGACTCACCTTGAGTGACTTCAGAGAGGGAAATCGAAGAGGAAATCAATATGCAAAAGTATGATGAGACTTATTTTTTCCTTTTTTATTGAGTTAACATTGTTATACTGTTATGTTTTAGGAGTATAGGTCCTCATTTATTCATATATGTTATCATACCACACCCACCACTGAAGGACTAACAGCCTTCCACCACAGTCCACTGACTGTCCCTCTATCACTAGCTCATATCCTTCTTCCCTTCTGATAACACTATTTCCTTTGGCAGAATTCAGGGTTTTGTTTTGATTTTGTTTGATCTGTTTGTGTTTGTTTCTTTGTATTCCACATATGACTAAAATCATTCAGGATTTACTTTCCTCCTTCTCATTTACTTCACTTAAAATAATCTCAAAATCTATACATGCCAAAATGTCAATATGTCTTCTTTTTTGTAGCTGAATAGTATTCTGCTTTGTATATATGCCATATCTTCTTTATCTTTTGGTGGACACTTCAGCTATTTCCATATATTGACTTTTTTTTTAGCTTTTTTTTTTTTTTAAAAGATTCATCCATTTGTGCACACAGAACTGGGGTACAGGTCAGAGACTCAGGGGTGGTGAAAGACTTCACCAGAGACAGAGCGAGGAGCAGAACAGGCAGATCGACAAAGCACACTGCCGAGGGGAGCAGTGGGCGGGCCAGGAGAGGTCTGCCACACCATGTGGTCACCTCTGGGACAGGCGGGGATCAAACTCATGCGGAAGCGGCCCCAGCTTCTCAGTGCTGCGCTTTAATCCGCTGCACCACCAGGGAGGGCCATCCATATATTGACTTTTATTAACTAGTGCTGCAATGAACACAGAACTGTGTATTTTTTTTAATTAGTATTTTTGTAATCTTCAGATAGATGCCTAGAAATAAAATTGCTGGACCTTATGTTATCTCTAGGTTTAAATTTTTTGAGGAATCACTACACAGTTTTCCATAGAGGCTGCATCAGTTTACATTTCCACAACAGTGTATGATGATGGTTCTTGTTTCTTCACATTCTGACCAACACTTGTGTCATGTCTTTTGATATGGGCCATTCTCACAGCTGTGAAATGGTATCTCATTATGGTTTGATTTTCATGTCCCTGATTAAGTGATGATGAGCATGTGCTCATGTGCCTGTTGGCCACTTGTATACTTTCTTTGGAGAAGTGTCTATTTAGATCTTCTGCCCATTTTTTGACTACGTTATTCATTTTGTTGTTGTTGGAGATTTGAGGGATTTTAAGAAATGGTGTTCCCTTCCAATCTCATCAAGGCATGTCAGAAATGTGTAAAGTCTATAGACTCATCATTTGTGAGAAATTTCTCCTTTAGATTTTTTTCTCCTAGAACTTTTCCCTAAATATGTTCATTCTGAATTTATTGAAAATTTGCTAAATTCAAATGCTTTTCTGCAGCCAGATCTAGTGTGAGATGGAGATGACAAATTATCTTAACAACAAGAAACAATAGTTTAAACTGTATCTTAGCTAATAAAAATGTTGTATATACTTGAGATATAACGTGGTCTGATACAGACATAATCATGACTATGTCCTGACACTGCTATTATGTAATTTAAAAGTTTAAACATGTTCCTAAAGGTGACAGAGAGCCCAAGTGAATCCAAAACAGGGACAAATAACACATTCCCATAAGGACTTACCTTAACGTTTTGTCCATTACACATATTGTAGAAGGGCATTTGCAAACATATGAGTCATGAAACATTCCAAAGTTATGTCCCATTTCATGGGCCATTGTCCCTGCAACTCTAAGTGTGTTGTCACTGTGGTCCTAAGGATAAGAACAGGGAAACAGATACTCTGGTCTGCAAGCTGAATTAGCACCCAAGCTATAACTAATTATTTTTTCTCAAAAAAAAAAAAAAATCAAGTACTTCAATTCTACTCAACATGTTTCCAGACTTCTAGGGACAAACTTGTGTCTCACCAAGATTCCTATGTTCAAGCTCTAACTACCAATATGACCACATCTGGAGACAGGGATTTTTAGAAATTAAGAATGGTGGGGACATAATCCAATAAGACTACTACTCTCACTGAAGGAGAGACACCAGCAATGTATATAGACAGAAAAAAATGCCATGTCAGGTTCTAGCAAAAAGATGTCCAATTGTAAGTCAAAGAGAGAGATCTCAGAAGAAACCAGACCTGTAGACACCTAGAACTTGAACTTAGAACTCCAGAATTGTGGAAAATATGCTTGTATTGTTTAAAGTAGTATGTGGCATTATAGCAATCCTAACAAATGATTATGCAGACTGTGATAGTATACAGTAACAAAAAAGAATCAATTCTAGAAATAATTATATCACACATCTAAATAATACATAAGTCATGACAAATCAAAGGGAAATCAGAAATTACCTTTAAGTGAACTAAAATGAAAACACATATCCAAATGTCCAACATGCAGTTAAAGCAGTGCATAGTAGGAAATTTATAGCATTTAATGCTTATAATTGAAAAGAAAGGTATCAACTTTGAAATTTTACTTTAAAGAATTGAACAAATTAAATATACAGCAAACAAAAGAAATTCAGTAAGTAAGACAAGAGCAGAAATCAATGAAATTGAAAACAGGAAAACAGAAAGCCAAAAACTGTTTGAGATCAATGAAATTGACAAATTCTTAACCTTAGCCAGATTGAGCATGAAAAATAAGATACAAATTACTTTTATCATGAGAAAGGGAACATCACTGCAGCCTCTATAGATAGTGAAGGCATGACTAAAGCATATCATTAACAAACTTATGGTCAACTTAAACGAAATGGACAAGCAGCACTTGTTAGATTGGGATTGTAGAATAAAATGTTTCAAACCAACCTGAACGATGCCGACAGAATGGTAAGGGGAGCACATTGTGGACATGAAGGCCAGGCCCACAGTGGTCCCAGACAGTTTTGTTGCACTGCAAGAAAGATATTGATACAAAAAATTGTGCTTCAAATATATCTTTTGCATAGTCAGCTCATTCAGAACTCTAAACAGTGAGCGGTGAAACTCACATTGTGAATCATTTGATACTCCCTTAAGTTCTGGATTAGCATGAGGGATCTTTCTTTTATTCAATGATTCTCATATCACCAGAGAACCAAATTCCTGGATGTCATCCGTTTTAGTATTTTTACACCTCTCACTCATTCATATTATACTTTTCATTGTGGAGTTCATCCCATGTCAGAAAATAAAGTGGATTTTTTGTGCTTATAAACATTTCCCTTTATATATCTTCTTTTGATAATTAGTATTGCCTTATACATTTTGTTTTAAATTTATATTTTCTTCAATCATTTTATATCCATTTACTTTTTGTTTTCCTTAGGCAGTTTTAGCTACAGAAGATGTAAAGTTAGGGTCCATTTTGAAAGTATTCTGCTATTGAAGCATTTATTATTATTACTTATTATTATTGAATATTTGTCCTATTCAAGAGTATCTTGAAATATTTTTGTTTTTAATTGTATTTTTTATTTTTTTAACATCATTCTTCATTTTGTGCATTTCTTCATCTCGGTTGTAATCCCCATGGGCAACCCCAACACCACTTCACCCATGTGCCAGCACCACAGTCCAGTGTACTCTTCCCTATTTACATTTATTTACACAGATGATATGTTTGGCCCTTAGTAATTTAATTTCACTGTTTAGTATTGTGTTATTTCATTTTAGTTTCAATTTGTAACACTTCTATGCCTTTTTCTTTGTTATAATTCTCTTTTCAAGATCCTGGCCTTGGCTTACATGTAAAAAGTTACATATTAAATTCTCATCTGAGATACACTTACATAGAATTGGAACTCATATATACATAGAATTGGAACCCACTTATCAACATCAAAGATGGAGACTACTGATTCTGTTATGCAAATGAGGTTGAAAAAGTAGAGAACTTCCACTTTCCATTCCTTGTGGCATTTTCAGATAGCTGCTATTTTGAAATTACATTTCTATATTTTATATATTTAACTTGTACATTTTTATGTAGTATAATATATATATGTCATCTTTTTCATAAAAAATATTTTAAATATTTGTGGTATTTCTATTGCCTTTTAAAGTGATATTGCAAAATTATTTATACTTAAGCCTGTATTTTACTAGTTCTAATTCTCACTACTTGCCTATTGATGAAAAGTAAAATATATTCCATTTTGGAATTAACTCACTTGGTTCTTCTTGTCTATGCCTTTTGTTTATTTGTCAGGTGAATGACAAGATTTTCACTATATAAGTTGGAGGGACAATTATCTCCTATTTAATATTTAGTGATTTCTGGTTTATATAGGACATCGACACTTGATGCTGGATTGCCATTTTTTTATTCTCTCCCTGTGTTCCCTTACCTGTAATCTTGATCTGCGCTATTACTTCACACTATGGAATCAACCACAAATTGAGCATGATTCTGGATCCAGTTTGGCAAGAGCTGAACTCCTTTCTAGCCAGGGGACCTCAGAAAATCACTAATCCTATTCAGAAAAATGACCCCTCTTTCTCGGTGGGTCCTTGAAGCTGGAACTTTCATTTCTAAATTAAGGAACTGCAGCAGCTGGTCTTCAAAGAAAGCCCCAAGCAGCTTACCTTGCAGTAGTCACATCTTATGTAAGGATTCCCCTTGAGTCTGGGTTGGTTCAGTGATACCCTCTTGATGAGTAAAAACGGCTAAATGTGACACTGTGATTTGTAGGATTTGACCATAACAATCCCTGCAGCTTTCTCCTGGATCAAATTTTATAAGGCTTTTCATGGGGAAAGCTCATCACTGTATATTAATTCCAACCCCCCTGAGACTGCCAGGTAGGAAGAATTCCAGGTTCGCCTTATGAAAGGTCTGTAAAGAGAGAGATGACCAACCAACACCTTGCTCCTGTCCTACCTTGCAGAGCACCTGGCATGTAAGTGGTGAAGGCTTCTTTTAAGTCAGGAATTTGGAACTGATTTGTATGCGATGATACAGAAGCAGCACAGAATATTAATTCTCAAAACCCTAGTCCACTGATTTCCCATGCCACCCACGGTTTTCTTAGGAAGTAAAGCTCAATTAATTTTTTTCTTAGGAAGTGAAGCTCAATTATCTTTGCTGCCTTCAGTGGCAACTGTCCAGCAGATTTGTCTTGATTTCTTTGGAGGCATATGCTCAGAACTCTTGTGTAATTTATAATGATTAGGATTATTTCTCCCCATTTTTAAATTAGCCATTCTAGCAGGATGGTAGAGATTATGAAGTTAGAATATAATACTCAATTTATATCTAGCCTAAAAGTGTGTGGTCTAGTTTTTTTTATTTTACATTTTTATTTAGATTTATACAGATATAGATCTCAACATCTTGAAAGATAAATTTGTGTCAATTTCTTTCTGCTTTTGCAAAGCATCTATTTTCTATAAGTATACATTTTAATTAATTATTTATTTTATAACAGTTTATTTTTACATCATTTTGTACATTTTTTCCTTTTTCTTTCTCAATTGTAATCCCCGTGGGTTTCCCATCACCAAATCACCCGTGTGCCATCACCATAATCCCGTGCACTTCCCTCCCCCCACCCCGTTTTTGATCCCATTCCCCACTCCACCCCCACAAAATATCTCTGGTATATGGTTGTTCATTAATGTTATTTTCTCGCCTGATCCATTATACTCCTGCTATGAGTGAAACCATCCGGTATTTTTCTTTCTCTTTCTGGGTGTTGTCTAGTTTTTAAAGCTAAATGAGCTCTTTTAAAACACTGAATCTAAATCCCTCTTGCATTATGTAAGCCTGTCTTTCCTTTCTGGATCATTCATAAAAACAAATATTCTTATAAACATTGCTAAATTATTATCTGATAGAGTATATTAAACATGCATCAAGTGAGTATTTTCAATATTTTAATCCTCTCACAATAAAAGACTTTCTTTTACCTTATACTGAGATACCACTTGCTTTATCAAATCTTTGAAAAGTTCCTACACTAAATACCACATAAGGTACAAAATATACATACGTGATCAATTGAGCAATATCATGGCGCTTTCTTCTGGGGATCACACTCCTCCTCCACTTAGAAAAATTTTCCAAGGTGGAGCTTGCATTTCGGGTTATCTTTATCTTGTCCTTATCATTCCAGATTTCCATCCCAACTAAGGCCACATGAGTGTTGAGCTTTTTATAAAGCTGTCCAGAAAGAATCAATGGCAAAGCTGTGACATATGCAGTGATGTTAGCTTTTAATACTTTAATGTGCTTTAGATTTTCAACCTTACTTATAACAGCACTTTACAACACTTATCCACAGGCAAGGCAGGCGTGATTAGATATTTCAGATTTGTAAACTTTTTTTTTTGAACAAAGAGCTATGAAAACAAACTTTTCCTGCTTGTACCACAAGGCATGTAATTTTCAGTTAATACTTCTGTGACTTTTTTTTCAATTAATACTGTCTGTGACTTTAAGTATGTTTGTTCATATGCATTTTTAAGAGTCATAATATTTCTGAATAAGTAAGTTTGACCCAATACTCATGTGGAAATTAGAAAATAACATTATGGGTAAACTTCCTGCCTCTGAGAATCACAAAAAGAACTGGCCCTTTAATTCCGAAATTATCTATACTGCATACAGGATAAATTCTAGAATAATGAGTTATGCTGCTAAGACAATAGGCCTACTTAAAAACAAAATTTTAAATTGTTATGTTAGTTGTTAAAATGCAAAGAGCACAAACTTAACAGTTATAAGAAGAATAGGGTCTGGGATTCCAGTGTCCAGAATAATAATGGTACTTATTTACACTGTGTTACATAGCTGTAAGTTACTGAGAGAGTAAATCTTAAATGTTCTACCACGCACACCCAGGGGTAATTATGTGGCATGATGAGTGTTAGCCAAGGCTAACACTGGGCTAACATTTAGCAGCACGTAGTGTTATCAATCAATACATTGTATAGCTTTTAACTTGTATAATGTTATATTGCCAATTATATCTCAATAAAACTTGGGGTGAGGGGGAGAGGACCCTGCACCATAGCAGACCTTCACAGAGGCCAACATTTTGTTGAGAAAACTGCAGTTTTTTTAAAGTAGAATGTAGTTTTAGAAAACAAAGTATTGAGACCTGAGGTGATCAAAATAGAAGCAAATATTAAAAGTCTCCCCTGGGTTAGTCCTTCAACTTGTTTCTTTCTGGCTGTGTGTTAATCACCTGACGTAACTCCATCTCAGTTAAGTCTACTCCTCTCTATACCTCCACTGCCCCAGGTCTCCACACCAACAGCTGGGTCCATGCCATGCCCACTGCCCTTATCTGAAGGCCTCACTACTAACCTCAAGTGACCTTACCACTTCCAGCAAATGTGCTGCATTCTGAAACACTTCCACTTTCTGTGGTCCACACATTTTGGTAATCACTACCCCTTCAGAATTCTGACACTTCCCTTAAAATCCTCACTTTGAAAAGATGAGTTTCCAAACTTACTGAGAGCACAGAAGTGCTGAGAAGAGAACGTCCATAAACTCCTACCGGCAGCCTCCTGACAGACCTCCACCTGCTCAGACCTGTGTCTCCCCTTCTTGACTGCAGAAGGAACGTCTATGAGCCTAAGGCCAACTTCTCTCGTGTACAAGACTGTCTCTCTCTCTCCCAGATGGACATTATCCCAGCAAATACTCCACTTCCTGCCTTTGTCAGTGTTCAACGCTGCATCAAATCATTCCATCAGCATACGATGGATGACCCATGGTGGTAGGGGCAGTGGGTTAAGGGAAGGGATTTCTCTAAGATGCTTCTCCCTCTAGAAAACTTCTGGAAACAATGTCCTCAGGTCACTGTCTCTGATTCTATTTCTCTTATCCTCTCTGCACTCAGCCATGTCTCTGCTCTCATGCTTCATGGAAATTGGTTTCACCCAGGTGGCAATAATTTCTACTTTGTTAACTTCAATGGCCAGTCTGCAGTCCTCAGAAGCATCTAACATTACTGGGGAACATTCTTCCCCTTGACAGATTTCTGTTTCAAGCAGTTTCCAATTAATCCTCAATTATGGTAAGATTAATTGGAAGGCATATAGAAATAAAGTTTCAGATTTGATATACTAGATGATAAAATTATATTATCAACAAGGGTGTCAAACCCTGATGAGTCTAAGTCCAAGTTTTACCTCTACCGTTTTCTAACTTGTGAAGTTACACAAGTAATTTTGCTTCTCAGTACTGAATTACTTGTCTATAATTTAGG